TCTCAACCTTGGCTGCACATTAGAATCACCTGGGAATCTTTTTAAAATCCTGATTTCTGGGCCTCATCCTCCGGAAATTTTGTTTCTTTGTTATGAGGTGGGGCCACAACATTAGTAACAAAGAAACAGAATTTCCGGAGGATGAGGCCCAGAAATCAGGATTTTAAAGATTCCCATGTGATTCTAATGTGCAGCCAAGGTTGAGAACCACTGCTCCACGCCTCAATCCCCCGGGTCTGCCTGGGGCTATTGGGTGGCAAGCTAATCAGGTGCCAGGAATCCCACGCTCGCAGGCCCCGCCCACAGGCCCCATCAGCCAATCGAGGCGCCGGAGGCCATGTGGGGCGGGCCGCTCGGGCCAAATTCCGGGGCTTTAAATCCGCTGCCGCGGAGCCGCAGCTGTCGGAGCTCTTGGGTCTGTTCGTGCTGACTGCGCCTGCTCCGCTGCGCCCGGAAGGTGAGCATGTTGTGACTGGTTTTACGCGGCTGGGCCGCCCCCGGAACTAGCCTTGCGGTGGAGGGTTCGGGAGTTCCCGGAGGCACCGTCCCGGGTCCTGGCGTGGCGGGCAAGGCAGCCTGACCTCCGTCTGCTGGGCTCCCTGCGCTCGTGGCCGCGGTGGGTGGGCTTGTGTGGAGCGGGGAGCGGGCCGCCGGTCCCCCCCACAGGCCCGGCCCCAGCGGTGCTCCGAGCGTCGGGAGAGCCTGTCCCGTTGCCGGTGCGGAAATGGGGTCTCTGGGCTGTTTTTCTCCACCCACAGGCTTAGCCTCCCTCCACGGCCCTTGGGAGGGATACATACTTGGGAGGATACATTCATTTTTTACACCCGGGGGCTGCAGCGTCTCAAGAAGGTAGGATGGCTTTCTAGGAGGATTGGTGTAATCAGATACTACTTTCTTTTCCCTCCCTAGGTTTTGAAACATGAATCCAGGAGGAGCTTCATCTGCTCCAAAACATGATGCAAGTTTAGATGCAGAATGGCAACAGTGGAAGGCAACACACGGAAAAGTATATGGTCCGGTTGGTACCATCTGAAATTACCCAGAGGGACCCCTCAAAGAATGGTCCAGACTTTTTGGAGTTTATAGCAGAAAGTAGCTTTTTTAAAAAAATAAATAAATATTTTTATTGCCCTGACTGGTTTGGTTCAGTGGATAGAGCGTCGGGCGGTGGACGGGAAGGTCCTGGGTTCTATTCTGGTCGAGGGCATGTACCTTGGTTGCAGGCTCAATCCCCAGTAGGGGGCGTGCAGGAGGCAGCAGATCGATTTTCTCTCATTAATCTTTCTAACTCTATCCCTCTCCCTTCCTCTCTGTAAAGAAATCAATAAAAATATATTTAGAAAAAATATTTTTTGTTAATTTCAGAGAGGAAGTGAGACAGAGAAATATCAATGATGAGAGAGAATCATTGATTGGCTGCCTCCTGCACGCCCCCTACGGGGGATGGAGCCCGCAACCTGGGAATATGAACCCCTTGACTGGAATTGAACCTGGGACCCTTCAGGCCCCCGGTCTATGCTCTATCCACTGAGCCAAACCATCTAGGGCAGACAGTAGCCTCTTGAGCAGCGGTTCTCAACCTATGGGCGCGACCCCCTTTGGCAGTCGAATGATCCTTTCACAGAGGTCGCCCAAGACCATCCTGCATATCAGATATTTACATTATGATTA